GAAAAGAGTTGCTGTTAGGATAGAGCTTATTATTTTTTGTTGATTTTCACGAATCAGCATCAGAGCACGATTCTGTGACCAGCGGAACTGACCCATTCTGCCGTGCTAAGGAAGAACGCCATATGAGCATTCGAGAGTTCCCAAAATTATGCGGATAAAACACGTATTTTCAAGGAAATTTGTGCGTATTTCCTTTGAAAATTTCAGGCATTTTAGATTAAACTGCGAGTAAAATTATCTGAAAGATTGGGAGAATAATAAGCAAAACTTTCCCCACAATTTCGCATTTTATCGAAGTAAATTTGGCAACTCTCGGATGTTCATACGGGGTTCTTCCTTAGCAAGACAACATTCCTGATTGCATTAGATTGAGTCTGGACGTACACTGATAAAAAATTTCGGTTTATTTACTAAGAAAAGGGTAAAATTACCAAGAATTCAGGGTTCTATTTGATCCCAGTTTTTTCTTGGTAAAATTACTATTTATGGAATTGGTAATTTTACCAAGAAATCTCCGTAAAATTATTGAACCTTCTCGGTAATTTTACTGGACCCCGGTAAAAACGCCAATATTTTTTATCGACTGTGGTAGAATAACCGAGATAAAATGGCAAAGATACCGGGAATTGATTACCAATAAAAGTGGTATTCTTACCTGAAAAAAACAGTAAAAATACCGGTTAATAGGTAAGCTTACCAGTCTATCTTGGTAAAATTACCAATAATTGGTAAAAAAAAGTGAAATGGTAAAGGTACCAACGGACCTTGGTAAAAACGCCGAGAATTTTTTTTCAGTGTATTATCCGTCTTCGCCCGGTGATTCGTTCCACTGTGCGGCGTCGCCGCCGCCGCTTTTTTCGCGAGATGGTAAAACTTTCTCGGGTTTTTTCGCTCGTTCACAGTCGACGTTGGTGGCTCGTAATATTGTTCCGAAACCGGTAAAAGGAGACGGAAAGAGGTCAGCAGGCCGCGGTGCGCGGTGCACGGAGAGATGCCGTTCCCGCATCGCATCGTTTCGGCTCCCCCGGGCGAGCGTCGGGCGCGGGCGTCGGCTCCTGCTCACGATTCCTAAACATCAAAACACTTCCGAGGTAAAACTTACAATGAACCAAGTGTGTTGCACCATTTAACGCTGCATTTATTCCAAGGAAAATTACTTCTCAGCTCCTCTACCGAGAGGAAATCTCCTCATAATCATCCTGAATATTATTTTTCCTCCCCTCGAGAAGACATCTTTCCTATTTTGCACATCTCTCTCTCTCTCTCTCCCCCTCCCTCTCCCTCCCCTTCTTTCCATCCCTCTCTTACTTCTTCTTGCTCTCTTTATCATCCCTCCCCATCCATCCTTCTTCTTTCCTCCTCCCCTTTTCCTCCACTTTCCACCACTCTGCCGCTCTCCTTCTCCCCTTTTCTCTCCCCCTCCCCCTCTATCACCCCCTATT